GCGAAGCTTACGAAGAACGATCTCGTATCGTTCCACGAACTGCGGTAAACTCTCTTGTTTGGTGTTCCACTTCATGTTGAAAGTATTCGGATAGGGTGGCGAGCCGGTCGACGCGTGCCTTTGGCTCATGGTGTTCGACCAGCGCACACCATGGATCCACGTAGGTGTCCTTGTCGGCGACATACTGCTGTTGCGATTCGGAGCAACAGGTGATCAGTATCCCGAGCGCGTACCCGTCCTGTTTTTCCGTATGCGTAGGTGAATCCCGCATGTATCGCGCGCTTGTAGCTTGCTCGAGGTCATTGTTGGCGGTTTCGAGGTCTTGCCTTGCTGCGAGTCGAACTCCGGCATCATACACGGCTTTGAACTTCTTGCTCAACATGCGTCCCTTGACCGCGGTACGCCAGGAGTTCCAGTTGTCTTCTGTTAACATCCGACGTGTTGACGTCTTGTGTCGTCGCTCATGTCACTTGGGCTCATAACCTATTGAAGCGAGGAAGAGCGAGCTGATGGCTGCAAGGCCAGTGGAGTAGATTCAAGAGTGAATTACTGTTCGTTATAAACCTCCGACCTTTGTGGATATGAATGGCTGTAGTAGCTCCTATATGAACATGCAGATTATTGATCAACGATCAACATTCTCAACACATTCTACCTATGCGCCTGCGTGTTCTCAGACATCGTTTGAACGACCAGTTTTCGGGGGTCATTGGCTATCTTGGCGGGGTCGACTTGACTGCAGGTAACTTGCCAACCTGGCTCGTCTACTTTAGCAAACTGTCGGCGTTGAATTTCTTCAAAGCGTCCTTGTGTTCAACTCAACTTCGCAGGTGTTTCTATTGTCTCAACATTACTTTGCCATCGTGGAGACCCAAACCCTGGGCAACGCTCTAGCCGATGACTACCGACCACATTCGGATCTCCCAGCGAATGCGATGGGACTAGTAGATCACGTAGTCAATCTATGGAATAATCCAGGCTAACACTTATACTGCCGAATTTGCTTTCTGGTACACTTGTGCAACCGTGTCAACTGAAACTACTCTTTGCTGCTATGCCTACTGCTTCCTCTCGTGTTGTCTTCCGCGGTGCTGCCGAGGCATAGCAGCAAAGAAAAATTTCAGTTGACACGGTTGCACAAGTGCACCAGGAGGCAAATTCAGAAGTATAATTGTTACCTTGGGTCATACCGCCTGCCTCGTTTGCAGCCCAAATCTTAACTCGAATTTTCTGTGCTGTTATGCCCGCCGCTTCCCCTCGTGCCGGCTTCCGCGATGCTGCCATCCAGGCTACCCCGCGAGTTACTTGTGTTGCTCCCCGCGATGCTGTCCGCGACAACGATGCCCAACCCATCCTGCCTGACATTGTTGTTGCCTGTGCAGCTGAAGTTCGGTCTTATCTCGTCACC